GAAACTGGAAACTCGAAACTAAACTTACACTGTTCTAGGATATGACTCTTGGTTACATGTCAACCAGAAATTAACATAAAGCAAATGTGACATGATTGTGACTGTAAAGATGAGCTGTCATTTGCTCAATTTTAAATGCTTACTACTGGAAAGACAGCTAAAATGCAGGAACTGTACCTCCTCCACCTGCCACTGTCATCTACCAAGCACAGCACTCCTCTCGAAAGAGTACTGTGTGCTCAGCTAGAGCAGGCCTTTTCTTTCTCTTGTCTTGTTTTGGGAAATAGCTTAATGAATGCATTCCAACTGCATCTTCTTTACCCAGAAGCCCTGAGTCAAAGTGGAGATGCGTCTGAATATGGGGTAAGATGGCCGGCATCTACTCTGTAAGGAGCCTCCCTTGCCAGTCTCTGTTTCCCAGTTGCCCCGTTGTTTACTTCTAGGGTGGGGCTGGAGTTTCTCAAGTTTTGACTCACCTTAAAAAATGAGTCTTACCTATATCCTCACCTCCCTGACAGAGTCATAAGCACACACCTGTCCTCAGGTACCTGTTCTCTAGAGCTCTTAGAAATAGAAGCTAGCATCCTAAGTTCGGTAATGTGTGGTACTTAGAAGATGAGAGAGCAGGTGTGAGACTCCGAATGGACCAGGTGACAGTCCCATGCTTAGGCTGGGCCAGTGGGAGTGGAACTGGGAGGAAGGGTTGATATTGCACACAGCTTCTCAGGGCTTGCCCTGCCTGGAAGGGTTTGATTACACGGGGTGATTTGAGGGGTGCCAGGAAGTCGCCCCTCCTCCTTTGAGAAAATAATCCACTGCCCCAGCAGGTTAGGGTGTTCAGAAACCAACCATGGTAGCTTTTGAAGACTTGGGTAGGCTCTTCTGGAGGGACTCAGGGTCCAGTCTCCAAGAGAAGAATTTTCTCATCTATGAAGTATATAACAAAGTTATCTTTCTTCAGACTCTGAACACTAGTTATAGAAGTGCTTTAGACTTAATGACTGATAAGATGCCCCTATACCTTTCAGTGCAGGGACGAGACTAGTTAGGATCTGTTTGAGGAAGGAGGGAGGACAAGCTTGGTGAGCAGAGCCCCTGAGTGCTAAAGAAGACACCAGGAGAGACTGGGGCAAGAAGAGGCAGGACCACCACAACTGCTTCCTCAATTTATCCTCAATGAACACAGCAGAGGCTGGGAAGGTTCCCGAGGCTCATTCACTTGATGGATGAAAACCTGTGATCCAACCCTGGCTCTCACACTAACCTTTGTGTGATCTTGGGCAGGGCATGTCCTCGTTCTAAGTCTCAGTTTCCCTCTCTGTAATATAGGGATAATCCAGCCAATAAGGAAGATGAATGCCAAGGATTAGAAAGGTATAGTGTATTAAGTGCACAAGAGGTGGACTGCGATTTAGATATTTTTTTGATCTAGCAGACATGTCCCTTTGAAATGATAACGTTTAGACCCCTGTCTCTCCTACATAGCCTCTGAGATGATGCTTGTGTTACAAGCCAAATTTCTATCACTAGTCGGAATTCTGTAAAATTTGAGTTTGTTTATTGATAAAGAAGTAAGTGGTGGGATGGGAAAAATAAGTCTACTCTAGAAAGTCCTGTGGGTGAATATGATGTAAGATGATAGAGACCATGTATATGTGCACATGCACACGTACACACACACACACACACACACACACACACACAATGGCTTGTAGGTACCAGGCTTGTGAGCATTTTTTGATCTGTGACCCTGCCAAATGCTTCCTGTTGTGTATTTCTCATAAAGAGTTTACATCAAGAAGAGCACAGAAGAGTGGGAAGGTAGACGGAGAGGCTGCAGGTGGGGAGCAGAGGAAGCTGGGGAGCAAGGTGAGGAGGCTGGAGATGGAATGCAGTATCTGGAATCCGGAACCCAGAATATCACATTCTTAACATTGATGGCTGGTGAGGAAAGGGTGAAGGCCTGGCCTACAGGGATGAATTAGAGGAAGGTTAACTTCAAAATTAAGTTGACCTACGAGCAGCATTTTGTTTGTATGTGACTCTAAGCTCAGAAAAGCTCATGAATCACGGTCGCCACCCAAGGACAATCATTTGTCTACTACGAAGATACTGGCTTATATGATGTAGTGGAAATAAACCCTGGACCAGGCCCCTACCTGGCTCTACTCCTGCTATCTGAGGTTGATGAGCAGATCATTTAACTTCTTTGGGACTGTTTCTTCAAACTGCAAAATCAGATTTTCATGATACAGCTGAATTTTTATGACGATTAAATGAAGCAAGAGGGGTTGGGAAGTACTTAAGAAAGTACTTGTGGTACTTCCTCATCTGGCAGCTTTTTACTTTGTCTGGGCAGTGTGGGAACACAAACAGACTTGTCTTCAGAAGGATCCCAAAACTTGGAATGGGTACCCGTGTGTATGTGTGGGTGGGGAAGGTTAACAGCTACAGAAATCCTGCTTTCCTCTGTCCCAGTCTAGGGGTCAAGTGGAGGACCAGCATTCATTTCTCCCATATGAAATGCTCCCTAAATAGGATTGCTGTCTTGAGCAATAAGAAATAGAGACTGTCCTGGTAAACCCATGATTAATATAAACATTTTCAGTTTATCTCACACAATATTGAAGACATCTTCTAGAAAGACTATCTTGAAATTGGAATTTATGTCATATTTTGTGTGGTGAGCCTACCACAAGAATCAAGTTCTACCCACTTATGTGGCCACTACTAATATCCACAAGAGTCACATCCAGACGGGTGGTAGGGAGGGAGTAGCAGCACCCTCAGCGTGGCTCTTATCATCTGCTACCTGTGTTCCAGGAGAGGGCTCAGAACTCAAACAAATGGCCTCTCTGGATAGGGGGAACACATGAACCTGAGATTGAGGAACAGAGGGGAATGGATGGCTCCTGTGTCCAGGCTTTCTCTTCCTCTTTAACAGATAAGAATCAAAGTTCTTTGAGTTGCTCAGATTTGAGTTCAAATCCCTTTCTGGCCACCTGATACTCAAATAATGTCTCTCAGCCTCATCTGCAAAATGATGACAATGTTATTTGTCTACAGCAAATATGGCATGAAATGAAATAATGACTGGGCAAGATGATTTTCCCCAAATGGCTGCATTGAATGGAAAAGCAGATATTCATTTATTGTCACAATTGCCCCAAATCATGTCTCCTCTCCCACTTCTTCATCAACATTTATTATACTATTCAGTCCATAAGCAACTTCTCACAGTTGTTATGCTTCTATGTATTAAATTCCCTGGCCTGGAGAGATGGATCAGTAGTTGAGAGTACAGATACTTCTTCAAGAGGACCCAGGTTCTGTTCCCAGCACCCATGTAGTGGCTCACAACTCTGTGACTCCAGTCTTAGGAGATCCATTGCCATGGTCACCAAACACACACATGGTGCCCAGACATACATTCAGGCAAACATGTGAAAATATGTTTTTTAATAAGTCTTGAATCCTTCAGTCTAAGTCAGCCACTTTAGTGGGTTAGGTCAGCTCAGCTATAGGGACCAAGAGTGTTGGAAATATCAGGTGGGTGTTTTTTTTTGTTTTTTGTTTGTTTGTTTGTTTTCTTATCAAAACAGGCCAGTAAAGCAGGTCCCTGTAGGAAGTGCAGGTGAGAGAAGTGGGTGAGGAATTGTCTGGGAGGTGATTATCAGGGCCACACCAAGGGCCTGGGGCAAGTTAGGGCCCCTTATAAGGGTTCCCAGAGTGGCTGCACATGGATCTTCTCTCAGCCTCCTCAACTGGGGTCCAGCTCACAGCCTCTGGTAAGTAGTAATGCCTCTGTTCTCCTGGGTTCTTTTCTTCTTGATCTGCCTTGAGCCGCTAGGCCAAGCTCCTCTCCTGTTCTTGGGTAACTAGAGAAGTGACTTAGCCTCATGACAATTAGGGAAAGGCCACAGTAATTATCACCTAAGACACTCTATCTTCTTTCTACGCCATTGATAGGTGTGACTTAATTACTGATTTGAGGCTTGTCCACTCAGCAAGAGGGATTTCTCTCATTGGAGTGGGTTCACTCAGAGCTGTGATGTTTCATAGTAACTCTGGCCTTCTCAAAAGTGAGTTCATGCTCTCATTTGTCAGTTGGACTCTGACAGCAAGCATAAATCTTTGCTCTCAGAATTATAGAAACTGGTGTGTTGATTGTCACGTTTCATACTATGACATCCCATATCTTATTCTTCCTATCCCATTGCTCTACTTTCCTGGAACTATACCTCCCATTTACAATTTATAAGGTGAGGAATACTGCGTGCAAAGAAAACCAGAGACAAAAAGCTTCAGAGAACTTCCAGACACATATCCATTAAGCGCACAGTAGTATATCTGGCCAGTCAGTGGCAGATTTGCATCTATAGCTCATGCCTGAGCTCTGGACTGGTGTGTTCTTTGAGCCAAGCTCCTTCCTGATAAAATGTGCATTGATTCATAGCATCCCTACTCTCCATGGAGGGCTGATACCTCTACCCTACATCCACGTCCTATGATTATCCTTAGCATACTAAAGTTGAGTGGAGAGTAGAACCCGGAGCTCCCTATTACATTCACCAGACCCATTGTTCACATGTCATGACAGTTCCTGGAAAAAGACACTGCTCTTCTCCTCTTCCTCACACAACTGCATCATCTAACTTCACCAATCAGCATTACCCAGACCCACACCTTGAATTCATAAAATGTCTGAGCTGCTTTTTAATCTTCTACTCAATACTCTGCCTTATTCTTGACTAAACTGATAAATAAATTATGTATTAAGTCCAGAGTCCATGGGAGATGAAAGAGAATAGGAACTCAGAGTAACACAGAGGGAAGGCAGTGAGAGGGGAATATCACACTAAAGGTGAGTGAGTAGTTCATTATCTGAGGCTGTTAATCATCTTTGACTATTGGTGGAAAATACTCCTTGAGGAGACAGATGGGAGGATACATACAGGACCCTTCTCACGGTGTCTTCATGGGTCTCCTCTAGACTCACCCATTCCTGAAGCATGCCATCCCATCAGCAACAGCAACAATGCACACCACCAGCCCAGCAGCAGCAAGTGAAGCAGCCCTGCCAGCCACCTCCTACCAAATGTCAAGAGGCATGTGTGCCCAAAAGCAAGGATCCATGTGCTCCTCAGGCTAAGAAACAATGCCCAGCAAAGAACACAGCTGACCCGGCTCAGCAGAAGTGTCCTTCTGCCCATCAAGACCCTAAGTGTAAACAGAAGTAAGGATGGACTGGCAACAATCACCTTTCCACCACCCAGGCTACTAGATGGAGTTTTGTCTTCCTCCTCCTCCTCCTCCTCCTCTTCCTACTGGCTTCTACCTATGTCCAATGAAGCAGCACTGTAAGATTCCTCATCAATCTCCTCATTATATGTGCTCTTTTTTCTCCAAGGCTTCCTTTATATCTTATCCTAATGGTTCCCAAGTAGAAATGAGAGAAAATTCAACCTCCCAGGCCTTTATATTGATCTTACTTACTTACAGCCTTATGTATTTTATATCACACTAGAACAGAGTGCCAGGCTTCTTCCAGGGCTCTACCCAGAGCTTATGCTTCATTCAGTTTCCCTTTATCCCTCTCTACACCTGTTGCCTATTTACCCCACTAATAAATATGTGCTTAATGTAATAATGTGTTTGTGTCCTGGTCTGCCAGACCCTTTCTGTGATCCACTCACTATTACATTTCAGGAGGTGAGTGTGTGAGTACAAGTCCATTGGAGTTTAGGAAGCCACTGTTTTGAGCACAGTTAATTTCTGACAGCTAGAGATGGAGGAAGGATAGATCCTAACCATCTAAGCTGAAAGAGTGAGGGAAATAAGCCCAGGGACTGGCCTCTTCTACTTCTGAGACATTTCCTTGACTAACTCCATCTAGGGAAGACCAAGGGGGAATGTAAACCTTTAGCTCTCCTTAGAAATTCGACACATCTGGTGAATGTAGGTTTTCATGCTTGGAAGTTGTCATTCTGCAAGGGCAGATGACTGGAAGTGCAACAAAGCATTGTGTAGACAGGTGCAAATGACTTTTACATGGATTTGTTTATTGTCTCTTCTTTTATTCTGTAACTCACCCCATAGACTGTCATGAACTAAATATGTCACATTGCCCCTGCTGGATCTCCAAACAATCCTGAGATAACCTATTCTGAGACTAAGTCTACTCTTGGAAGTCAGATATGGTTTCTTAGAGAGAGAGAGAGAGAGAGAGAGAGAGAGAGAGAGAGAGAGAGAGACTTGATGAGTTCATTTGAGTTCATATAACTTATGAAAGAGGTCCCACTTTTACAGCTGATGTCCTAAATTCTTTGCTTTTATGTAGGTTGCTTGTATTGAAAAGAAGCTGAATACCCCCAGATAGAAAAAGACACAGCCCTTGAAGAGCTGTACACTTCTCAAGGGATGTGCTCACATATGTGGAATTTGACCAATGCCAATAAAAAGCTACTTCTTCATTGAACATACTAGCTTGAAAATGAATTAATAAGCACCTCCTTCATTTCCCTTTAAAATCACTATCGAGGGCTGATATTTCCACATGAAATACTAAACATGGTAAGTACAGATATTAACCAGGAACCTAAAAGTACTGTAAAAACACAGCCTAAGAAATCTAGGATAGAATTTCTTAAGTCCAAGCTCCAAATCCTCCACACCCCCCAACATAGTCCCCTAACAAAGAGAAAGACTGGTCCTTCTTAACAGAACTTTGTGGCTTTGTGTCATTCAAGCCAGGGCAGGCTATGGGAAAATGGGTCTTTTTCCCATTTCTTATCTGTGTTCCATAGGTAGGCTCTGGCAAGCCCTTCCATAGACTGCAGGTCTCTGGGTCTGACAGAGTTTCAGTATCTTCAACTGTTTGACAGACAAAAACAATTGGATTTCTCTCACCTGTGTCTCAAGTTAACTTAGTGGGAGAAGAAGAGACTGATGCCCCTCCCGACACCAATGCCCAAGGAAAAAGTGTCATCTATCTGGCAATATGTGGGGATCTAATTACTTCATAACAAAATCATCTCATGTTAATCCATCTTTCCAAGGTTCGCAGAGCATATTGATCTGTTTCATGGAAGAGGTTGAAGAATATAAGGAGACATTAAGATTCATTGGATCAAGGGGAGAATATTCCACAAGATACAGCACCACACATTCCCCTAATGACCCAATGACCTTCGCCAGAAAATACATCCTACTTCTGAAAATATCTATCATCTCCCAATAATACCCTTGAATTCTAAATTAATCAATTGGTTGATTAGTTGGCCAGGTGACAGCTTTCAGGATCCAATCACCTCTCAATGGTTAGATTTCATTGGCCAGCAACTAAGCCTTTAAGACATTAAAGTATTTTGGAGGACATTTAATATCCAAAGCGTAACATTCTGTCCCCAGTTCTGAAAAGGCTTGTGTTCATCTTATAATACAAAATACATTCAGCACATCTCCAACCTCTGATAGTCACCAAGTCTCAACATTTATAGAATTTTTCAAATGAAAAAAAAAATCTCTGTAGAGACTCAAAGAAAAATTGTCTTTAAACCTTGGAAAATCAAAACCAGGTTCTGTGTTTTCAGTAAGCAACTACGGAGGGAAAATGTTCACACAGCAAAAGGGAGGAGCAGATCAAATGGGATGGAACCACAGAAGGCAAACATTGCATCTATAGCTCCATGTCCATCATCTATGATAGCAACACGAAATTAACACCTAAGATCTGGTGGTTGCCACCCACTTGTTTACACTTGTTTACTTGGCTTTCCTTGGTAAATGTTCTACGTTCTTCATAATACTATTTCCCTTGGCCCCACTTACAGCCCTGATTTCACCCACACAGTTGCAAACTTTATTTTCTCAAGGATTATTTGCAAGAAATTTGGCATTGCAATCTTTGCCTGGATCACTAAGCTCTTACATGAAACCTAAGTAGAAACATTCATGACCCCACAGCTTATGCCTACAGAGCCATCATCATCATGTGAACAATCATAATATCTGATAAAAACTTGAACATTGAGTGGGGCCCCAGGACCACGGTGACAGCAGTCTTGGACTGCTTGAGTGAATTCTGAGGAAACAGCTTCCTAGTTGGCCTTGTGTGAGAAGCATACAATTCAGTTTTGAAGTTTCTGTGATTTTGTTGTTTTTCTTGGCTCATGCTATTTCTTCTGTCTGAATATAATCATTTAGCAATTTTCTGTTAGAGATCCCTTTGACCTTGAAAACTTAGTTAAAATATTTCATGAAACCCTACTTAATACTTTTGAAAAAAATCAATAGTTTCACAAACTCTCATAATACTTTAATAAGCAGTTTTAAATGAAATATAATGTTTCATTATTTTTATTATTTTTATTTTATGTGTATGGGTGTTTGTCTGCATGTGTACCTATGTATTGCTTGTGTATAATGCCTACAGAGATCCAAAGAGGGCATCAGAAACACTGAAACTCCAGTTACAGATGGTTTTGAGCTGCCATATGGGTTCTGGGAACTAAGTATACAATTATATACTTAATTACCTTGTTAAATTATGAGCCCATGAAGCATAAGGCTCCTATTGATCTCATTGTCCCCAAATGCAAAAATGATAGGCTATTCAAAAGTATAGAACTTCTCCTGAGTGCAATGGAATAGCTTACCATCAAACCAGGGAATTGTGTGTGGGGACTGCACATATGGAGATAATTTAAATTATCAGCACTCATCTGATCCTTGAAGAGTCCTGGGAGAGGGAATCACAGAAAGATGAGACAAAATACTTGTTTATCATGGCAGGACTTGTGAGTTGTGAGTGTGAGCACAAGGAAAACTCTGGGCTTTCCACAGTGGAGAACTTTGGCTGAGGACAAAGAAACAAAAAGTGTTTTGGATGCTTTGGGGATGTGGCCCTGAAAACAAGTGAGATGGGGAATGTACTGTGTATGTTTATCTTATTGATTGTTAAATAAAATACTGTTTGGCCAATGAGACAGCAAGTTAGACAGGACTAGGAGTCAAAGAGGATTCTGGGAAAGGTAGTAGAGAATTGGTGATCCAGTCAGGAAGTGACATATCAAGGAGACTCATATTTAAGTGAAGGAGAAACAGGAAGTGTCCATTTTCCCCTTGCTCCTCCAGCAGCACAATGTGATCCACCGGCAAAGAGGGATGCCAATAAGGCGTCCGATAAGATAAGTCTTATAAAATATATAGATTTGTGATAATTAAGACTGAGCTAACAGATGAGAAGTCCTAGTCATTGGCAAAACAGCATTTATACCTAATAGAAGTCTCTCTGTGTATTAATTTGGGCCCTAACTCTGGTGGGCAGCTGGCATAAAGCACACACGTGGTGGTGGGGCTCAGTGGCTTTTGGTGGAAAGATTTACCATAACACAAATGGCTGCTTTTTTTCACTTAACAAATTTAGTGACTTTTGACATTAATCATATCTGGATACAAAATAACTAAACAGAAAGTCTCTTGATGAAGAGTGGATCTGAGAGTAAATGAGTTATGGGAGGAAAGAAGCTGGAAACCTGTATGGAAGTGGGAGAGGGAGGAATAGAGACAGGAGAATATACAAGCTGTTGACAACCAAATGGTGGTATTGCTGGGGAGAGTCCTGACTGGCAGTCCTGGTGTGATAGTACTTCTTGAGATCCTAGAAAATTCATCAGTCATATAGATAGAGGTTACATGAATGCATACATTCTTAAAAATAAAAGAAACTGTACTTAAGATTTAGTTAGTTTTGTATTCACTTGTTTAACACAAATAAAAGTAAAGATACCATTAAATGATATCAACAAGCTTAGTTGTCGTGACCCAGGATGTCTCAGCCTTAGTCCATGAGGTTCTACCTGAGTGGGGGTGTGTGGACCTGGAAGCTCCGAGCAACCCAACGGTGATAAAGACCAAACACAGGCATCTTGTCATCTTCAGAGAGCTCTCAGTTCCATCTTGTAGAACTAGAGTCATTTCTTTATTAGCCATCTTTTCTGGTGTTTCTTAACCATCCTGCCAATACCATCAGGGAACCATCTTTCTTTTTGTTCCCTCTCTGCTCTCTGGTCACTCGCCCCTAACTCCTAACCTTCTGTCCTCACAAGTTACTCACACAACTCTGCCCTCCCTGCCCAGGTGAGGGCCTATTCAGATGCTTAGGTGCATAGAGATGCAAATAAGAAGCATATTACCCTGAGGCCATGGTAAACAATAGTAGCCTTACTGGCATTAACAATACAATAGTGGGCCTGAGCTTTCTGGTGCCTCTGTTTACAGGAGCTAGAGACTGGGCCCCAAAATATTCCATAACAGAAATATGCGGCCCCCCACACTTAGTAAGTTGGATGAAGGATACTGATATTCATAATAAAAATATAACTAAGAAATGAAGATTCATGTCATGCCTGCACACTGGAAGATTTCTAGCATGTGTCTAATTTCATCCTTAACTTGACTACGCTATGAAAATTAGAATGAAATGGTGTTGGAACAACACTATTTGAAATACTGGCTTTCAAAAGGCAGATGGCACCAGATGTTGGCAAGGCTGTATGCAACTAGGAACTCTAATAAACTACTATGGAAGGATAAACTCTTTAGACACAATAAA